TTACAGGTGTGATCCACAGTGCCCGGCCCTTATTTTTATTTAAGCAGATTACTAGGCAAATGATTTCTGGGTTTTTAATGATAATATTTACCTTTAGAACTAACTTTAAGAAATATATCTCACAATTTTTATTTTATTTTGCAAAAATGACCAAGTTTGCTATGTCAGCAACACATCCAGTACAATATGAAAAAACACGTAAGTGTAGAAATATGTGAAAAGTAACAAGGCTGGAAAACTCAGTGGACAGAGAATATTTTCCAGATTTCATTTTAACTTCATATAGAAATAGCAGTTATCCTCCCTTATTCAAACATGCCCAGTTCTCTGTTGGTTCAAGGTCAGTTTTCTAGCCGTAGTGACAGTATTGTTTGCATCTCCCTTTGTTATTTTTTTTCCAGGCCCAACTCTTCTTTTTTTCATTAAGGATTTCTGCAAAAGCAATGGGCAAATTCCCTGCTTCCATGCCCCTTAGAGACTGGTGAACCACGTGTTTGTCTGGCTCTTGTAATGGGGTGTTAAAAGCACTTGTTCATCAGATATTTTCTTTTTATTTGTAGATTTAGAAGTATTTTAGCAGGTGTACATTTGCATATAAAAGAGAAAAAAGATAAGAAGTTGAGGCTTTCTCTTTCTCCTCTCAACATCATCCCTCTTTCACCTCTCTTTATTCAGCATGTTTTCACTTTCTTTCTCTAACCGTTTCTATTTTCTAGACACAAAACACATATCAAAAAATAAAAAACAGTCTCAGGGATCCTTCAGCACTTTTCAGGAAGATAGATGATTGGGTTCAGGCAGCTTATGTAACAAAGTAGAGGAAAAGACCTTTATCTCATGTCATCAGTCAGGAGTTATTAGACAAGGATAGATTTTCACCTTCTGGAGCTGTAGACTGCATGGGATGGCCCTCCTTGCCTTGCCTTACATTTTAAACTGCAATATTTTCTACTTTTTAAACTAAATCTAGGCACCGATTTGAGTATATAATTGATGCTTGAACGAAAGATTCAGAACTGAAAGCTTGAGCATGCATGTGTGTGTTTGTTTCTGTGTGTATCAGAATATTCCAACCAAAAATGATTGTATTCTTTAGAAATGTTTGTTTTGTTGAAACATTTTTACTACTCAATATTTTCTGAGCGTTTTAGGCTAGGAAGTGTTTCCCTGGGGTTCTAAGTGAGGCTAGAAAGTGAAGACTTTAAAGCAGTCACCCAATCCTCAAATTTTCAGACTTACAGTTTACTTGCAGTTGAAAAACTGAATTCTTTTCCCCTTGGAAATATATCAACTTTGTCCCTACCTTGTTTATAACAGACTAACTTGAATTTTTAGATTCATTACTTTTTGCTTCTTTATTTGTTCGTTCATTTAATAACTATGAATTTGCAGAGCAGCAACAAAGTGCAACTTTTAACTGCGTGGTTCATCACCATCTTTCTTCCTTTTAAAAAATCCTGGGCCTGAATTGCCACAAACCTCATTCCCATAGCTTTACACTCTTGGCTTGATGAAGTTAGCATCCTGGCCAAGTCTTCTGGGCTGCTTCAGGAGGATGTGATTTGTTTGAGAACTTCTAGCAAAAAGCACACTCTTCCCTCCAGAGTCTGAAACCTGATCTGTTTGATACAGACAGCTCCTTAAAAATTTTTATACAGCTGATGCATCCCCCCTTTCAACCCTTTCAACAAGAAAGCTTTTCCTAACATCTAACTTGTATTCTTTGGCTGGAGTTTTTCCCTAAGTATTCTTGTACCACTTTTAGTAAACACAAAAAGTTGCTCACTACCATCTAGTTTTGAGGCTACAAATGTGTTCTGTTTTGTCTGTGCAGTGTTTTATTTTTAAAAAGAAGAAAGAGAAGGCAGAAGTCTGGCAAGACCAGACCCACTTTCCCACCAGGCAGCAATTGACTGGAGCCAAGGAGCAACTGTGCTCTGTGGACAGGTCATGTGCCTCCCGGCCTGCTGCAAGACAGGCCCTTCCTGCTGCTCCTGCCTGGCCATAGTCACTTACTGGAGGTACCTGCTTTGCCCCAGAGGCACCTGCGTCCACAATGCCCACCCTGTCCAGTCCGTTTGCAATACCTGTCCTTGAACCTTCCTTCCCTTCTCCAGCCTTGTTCTATGCAGGCTATGTATCCTTTAACCACTTCTAATTTGTTTTAACCAGCCCTATTAATTTTGTTTTTCCTATGTGGATAATCTCCTAGTCTTTAATAAATAGTTTTGTGCAACAATTCTGACTAAATAGAGGTGTGATGCATGCTGTGGAGGAAACGACTCCAGCTCTGATGCATCTGATCCTCAATCAGACGGCAGCAGTGCTGGGTGCTGTGCCCTCTCCAGCTGCTTTAATGTCTGTGGTCCTGCCTCAGTGAGTGTCATTCCTCCAGGTGAATACACTTCATCTTTGTTCCTTTTAAACTTCACTTTACCTTTAAGCAATTAGAGGGAGCGCACTCTGGGATTGGGGGCAAGAGATGTGCCCAACAGTCCTCAGCCTGATCTTGCCACCCCTTTATGACTCATGTCAGGGCATCTGCGTCCCAGATAAAAACTATCCAGGTGGGCTTTGGTGACTGCTTGGAGAAGGGCCACAGAGGCTTAAGGATGAAACACTGGTGAGGAGTGTGATTGGGAAGTGGTGGGCTCTGGTTGAATGGGGCAGGAGAGTGAGCCATCACAGGTTGGGTGGTCAGCCAAAAGCCATGGAGCGAAAGCCCGATTACAGAGCCCACGCTCTTCAGGAAGGAAGGGAGGGGTACCAGAATGGAAAATGTGGAGCATAGAAAGGGCCCATCTTTTCCAGAGTATCAAGATGGTCCCTTATTGCTATAAGTGATTTCACTTCACATTGGTAATTTCCTCCCTTGCTTACCTCAAACAAGTAATATTATCAGTCCTTCTTCTGTTTGGGCAGAATGCTTAATCCCTCCCAAATCTGAAATTACCTCAACACTACTAGCTTGATATTTCTTTTTTTTTTTTTTTTTTGAGACAGAGTTTCGCTCTTGTTACCCAGGCTGGAGTGCAATGGCACGATCTCGGCTCACTGCAACCTCCGCCTCCTGGGTTCAGGCAATTCTCCTGCCTCAGCCTCCTGAGTAGCTGGGATTACAGGCACGTGCCACCATGCCCAGCTAATTTTTTGTATTTTTAGTAGAGACGGAGTTTCACTATGTTGACCGGGATGGTCTCGATCTCTTGACCTCGTGATCCACCCGCCTCGGCCTCCCAAAGTGCTGGGATTACAGGCTTGAGCCACCGCGCCCGGCCCTAGCTTGATATTTCTGACAGAAATCCTCTTCTGATTGCCAATGACACATTCTCCATTCTCCTGGTTTCTGAGAAGCAGGAGAGCCGTCGCTGGAGTCAAGTGATTTACCTTCAGACAAAGGACAAGAGAACTTGCAGTGCACAGCTCCAGCTTCCAGTGGCCAGGAGGCTTTGTGGATCAAGAAGCTGCTCCTTTTTTTTTTTTTTTATAATTTTCATCTTTGCTCTCTTTTCCTTGATGAAATAAGTTTAATTGAATGCAGAAATAACGTATGGTAATTAAGATCTGGACTTGTATCTTGAGAGCTGAAAAACTTTTTGGTTGATTTTTATAAAATAAAAACAAAACGGCATTTTTACCTCTTTTACACTGATTCTTTACCTTTAGAATTCACTCTGTTTTTGATTTTGTTAATATTGTCCCTCTTTCACAGTTACCTTACAGTATAGTTGAAGGAACACGGATGTAAGGACTAGCCAGAGGGCATCATGACACCATCCCATCGGAGCCATCCTAGGACAATGTGACCAGCCTCATCAGGAAATACTTTTGTCCCAGCCCCCACCCCCCCGCCCACACACACAAACATTACACAAAATAGTACTTTCCCCTCTGCATGCACTGTGTCTGTTTTCTTTGTTAGATTTTTCAAAATACTGGTTTCAACGACCTAAACTGATTTCACAATCAAGCAAGTGTTACCTTAGAATGTTTTATCTTCAGAGCGAAGAATCCCTGATCTGTACATATTTTAATTATATAGTATTTAATATTCCAAAGTATAATGCTCATCTTAAGTACTCATAATAAAGGTCTCATGGTTAAGTTCTTAAATGAAGCCAGCAAAAGCAGAAATGCAGCCTTTTGCTAGCCCCTGATGTTGACGGTGGGACTCTTTTTGTGCCACGTTAAAGATGTAGACATAGATGCTATTTTGTTATGTCTGTGCTGAAACTGATTCTACATTCTCCATTTCATCTAGGTGCCCTTGAAACTTTAGAGTAATGGGGAAGGTTGTGTCACTCAGGTTCTTTACGTATTTTTGTCTACTGTTTTTCCCAAGTCTTCCTCAATTTCATCTACAGCAGATGCCATTAGAAGCCCTGCATGGCCAAGGGCATCCTATGAACGTGAGCAGGTGCAGGCTGCCACCGATCCTTGTGGATACCTGGCTTTGCTGTCTGCAAACTCACTCTCACTCCTTCCCCATGGCAGGACTTGGTTAGATTTCCTCAGCTGTGGGACTCTGAGCTCATCCAGCTGTCACCATCCTTCCTGACCCTCTCCCCATTCCCCCAGCTCTGTGCCAGAGCCCCTGCACTCAAGTGTGAGAATCCAAGAGCCGGAGGAAAGAGTGTTTCTGAGTGACCTGACCACTTAGGAAGACTGGCTCTCTCTTCTGGTTCATTCCAGTAGCTGCCTCTACAAGGCCCAGAGGGAAGAGAAACTACTTTACTGTGATAGTGAGCCTATCCAGAGATCCACTCAAAACAATGACTAGAATTTGGCTGCCTCAAATAAACTCACACTACTTGTCTTTGAGTCCTGAAACTTGGGTTCAACTAAATTGTTTTTGGTTTGTTTTCAGAATGTCTAAAAAGCGACAGTTCAGAAAATAATCTGCATGCATTTGAGAATGTTAATCTCATAGGAAGAATTTAAGAAGCTTCTTTCTGGGCAGTAAAAAATGTAGTGTTTTTGTGTTTTTCTTCAATCAATAGAAACAGAAGCCTACCAGTTGCTGAAGAAGGCTACCCTTCAGGATAATACAAATCAAACTGAAAACAGGTTTCAAAAGGCAGATGCTCCTGTGTCACGCTTGTCAGGTAAGTAAGGGCAGATGGCAGTGTCCAGGGGACCAAAGTGGCAAGGCAGGGCTGTGTTCAGGGAAGGGTGGTTATTCTTTGAAGGTTTCTGAAGTTTGCTCTGTAACGAGCTGTCATCAGGTCAGAATGAGCTAGTACTTTTCTATTCTTAGCAAATGGACATGTGGAAAAGCCCTTTTGTTGTGTCCTCGACATGTGCTGGCCAGCATGGCAATGGCCCTCCCAGGCCCTGGATCCTGCCAGGCATGTCATGATAGTGACTTGCCACCAGTGACCCTGAGAAGACACACCCAAATTCCTAATTTTCCCCATGGCTGCCAGTCTCTTAGTCATTCAGTGTTGTGTTGGGCTGCTTTCCCTCACCAGAATGTTGGAGGACTTTGAGTTCTTTTACTAAATGGTGTATAAATCCCAGGAAAGCGAAATTTTAATTATTTAGGTATTTATGTATGTATGTGTGTATTTATTATTTTTGAGACAGGGTCTTGCTCTGTCTCTCAGGCTAGAGTGCAGTGGCATGATCATGGCTCCTGAAGCCTCAACCTCACAGGCTCAAGCAGTCTTCCCACCTCAGTCTCCCATGTAGCTGGGACTACAGGTGCGCACCACCACACTCAGCTAACTTTTGTGTGTGTGTGTGTTTTTTTTTTTTTTTTTTTTTTGTCTAGATAAGGTTTTGCCATGTTGCTCAGGCTGGTCTTGAACTCCTGGCTGGACTCAAGCAATCCACCTGCCTTGGTCTCCCAAAGTGTTGGGATTACAGGTGTGAGTCACCATGCCTGGCCAGGAAAGCTAAATTTTAAACTTGATTTTAGTTCCTTCCATCTAAGATTTTGTTTTAATTGTAATTTTAGTTTTTATACTTTATTATTTTCAGTGATTTTCCTTTCATTATACCAGTTTTTAAAGTATACATCACCTTAATGTCCTCTGTGAGAGTAAATGGATTAATACAGAAGAAAATGAACATTAATGACTTTCTTAGCTACCATGCCATTATTTCACCTAGCAGAATGAACAGTGATTTCTAAATACCATATAATTCCCAGTCCATATTCAGATTTCCCAGTTATCTCAAGGATGTCTTCTTTAGCCAGGTAGAGTGGCTCATGCCTATAATCCCAGCATTTTGGGAGGCCAGGGTGAGAGGGTTGCTTGAGGCCAGGAGTTTGAGACCATCCTTGGCAATATAGCAAGACACTGTTTTTACCAAAAAAGTTTAAAAATTAGCCACACGTGTTAGTGTGTTCCTATAGTCCCAGCTACTCAAGAAGCTAGGGCAAAAGGATCACTTGGGACCAGAAGGTTGAGGCTGTAATGAGCTATGATCACACTACTGCACTGGGCAGCAGAGCAAGACCCTATCTAAAAAAGAAAACAAAAAAATGTCTTCTTCAGACAGATATTTTTGAGAGACATACTTAGGGTGCATCAGACTTAGCCGTCTGTTTGGAGAGCTGTTTCCTGGATATTACTAGTGGTAGAGTCAGTTGCAGCAAAATTCAGTTATTTTCGTGGTTTTGAGGATTTGGTGACCCACTGCATGTTAAGTGCTCAGCACAGTGTCTGATAGTGAAAAGCCCCCTGGGAGAGCCGGCCATTGTGGTGGTAGTGGTAATTTGAACTCTGCAAACATACGACATTGTAGTTTGTTAGGTATAAAACAGGGCCTTTGGCCGAGTGCGATGACTCACGCCTGTAATCCCAGCACTTTGGGAGGCCAGGGCAAGTCGATCACAAGGTCAGGAGTTCAAGACCAGCCTGACCAAAATAGTGAAACCTCGTCTTTACTAAAAATACAAAAATTAGCTGGGCATGCTGGTGGACACCTGTAATCTCACCCACTCAGGATGCTGAGACAGATAATTGCTTGAACCCGGGAGGCGGAGGTTGTAGTGAGCCAAGATTGCGCCACTACACTCTAGCCTGGGTGACAAAATGAGACTACATCTCAAAAAAACAAAACAAAACAAAACAAAAAAACACAAAAAAAACAACAGAATCTCTGTCCTGCTGGAGATTGTCATCACTTGCAAACTCTGTTTGCTTTCCATGACCTTCTTCACATTTGAGTCATGGAATTAGAATCTAGAGAGATATTAGGAGGTACCCAACACCCCCATTTCACAAACCTTGCTCAGAGTCTTACAGCTGGATAGCTGACACATACTCTGAAAAGTGACTCCACACATCTGTTTCTCATAAGTGTTATTTTCAGTAGTTAATCGGACAGGTGCAAAAGATGAGTAAATTTGGCTGGGCCATGGCTCACACCTGTAATTCCAGCACTTTTGGAGGCCAAGACAGGTGGATCACCTGAGGTCAGGAGTTTGAGACCAGCCTGGCCAACATCGTGAAACCCCGTCTCTACGAAAAATAAAAATTAGCCAGGCATGGTGACTAGTGAGTGCCCTTAGCTACTCAGGAGGCTGAGGCAGGAGAATGGCTTGAACCCCAAAGGCAGAGGTTGCAGTGAGCTGAGATCATGCCACTGCACTCCAGCCTGGCTGACAGAGCCAAACTCTGTCTCAAAAAAAACAAAAGATGAGTAAATTTGACATGTAAGTTGTAGTCCCTTGGATGTGTATCAGAAATTATAGATTATGGTACTATTAATCTCATGTTTAATGCATTTTTATTAATTTATTCATAAGTGAAATGACGCTCCAGATTGTATAGTCAAGCACCCCTGAATTCAGTTTCCTTACTCCATACTCAAAATCGCACTACGTGTTTTGCAGGATTCCAGAGTTTCTGGCAGTAGAATCATGGAAGTGCTCCTGCTTATGTTTGCTGTTATTGTCATTGTAGTCAGATCCTTCCCCTGATGTTCATCTTACATTTGGCCGTGTGTTGTCTTTTCACCCTTACTCTTATTCTGATCCTAAGGACTTATCTGAGCCCTAAAGAAAAGCAAAAAGTGGGCTGGGAGGGTGGAGGGCAGCTTCACAGTGCTGTTACAAGTAGCAGGGGTGGGAGGTGGTGGTGCACTCTGCACTCAAGGAGCCCACCCCAAATCTAACTAGCGAAGAAGCAGTGCATGTTTCACTTACTCCTGAGTCTTTGGACCTGTCCTGAGGAAAGCCACTTAAAACTTCAGCCTTAGTTTTCATGTCTGAAAAGACTGCCTCCTGGTTAAGCATGTGGACACACTCTTTGGGCTGAATGTGGACACATTTTAAAAATAATTGCTTTGCTGCAGAGTGTACACACAAGCAGGCAGGTTACAGGTTAGAAACTCGGCAAATGCATTTTGCAAAGATGCCCATGCATGCTGTATCTGTGATTTTGATTGCCAGTTAAGAAGCAGACCTGTAGCAGAAACATCCAAGGCTGAGAACTCCCAGGAGGCAAAGATCAGGGATTGCCTTGCAAACTGGGGGCAGCGTGGGAATATCCAGGTCTCTGGCTCCAGGAAAAGAGGTGGAGTGTGCATCCTCCTTCTCAACCTTTAGAGGCTGAAAAAGAGTGGTCTTGATGGTTTTCAGTGGAAATTCAGTCTCCTCAGTGGGATGGAAAATAGAGGATTTTGCAGAGGGGCTTGAGAGTGAATAAGGTGGGTAACTGTTATCCATGGGTCTCAATTATTTCTGAGCCCTGGTTTGCTGCCCGTGTGTTTTAACAATGGGAATTATCCAGTGCTTTGTGACACAGTAAAGATCCATATGCCTACATGTGCATCTTGGTCATTTTAAACTGAACTGTTTGGATGATTTCAGTTTTTACTTTCTGTGATTTCTATTTAGGTATCACAAGAAAACACCCCATTCCCTTTCAGTATTCTACTAACATTTCGTTCTCTGCCTTAGAAGCTCCCTTGCCTTCTGTGGCTTGAACAGCATCTTCCTCTGTTGGCGCTTGTTTCACCAAACTTACTGTGAGGCCACTTTGTTCATTTTGTCCCATGGCTGCACAACAGCTAATGCTAACTCTCCATGTTTATGCTTATCACAGGTTTGAATATTGGCAGCGGTGCATTCGAGACAAAGACAACTAACAAAATTGCTTCGGAAGCTAGTTTTTCATCTAGCGAAGGAAGTCCTTTGTCAAGGTAAAGTTGTGAAAGGCTTTCTGAATAGTGGCAACAAGATGAGAAACGTCACAACGCAATGAATTAAAGTCTGGCTGCATATTATTTTGTTGTGTGACTTGGAAGGTTATGGTTTGGGTTTTTGTTTATCTAAAATAACAGTTGAAACTTTAGTCTACCTTTGAAAATATTTGCACCAGAGCCAAGTATTGTTTTGCAGCTGTTGTTTCCTTGGTTTAAGACTCAATTGACACCTCAGTGAACCACAAATTAGCGTCTACAGCTGCTCGCAGTAGGACTGCTTAGAGACCACACAATGGAGGTTGTCAGAAAAAGGGCAGAGAGAAAACATCAGGCCTTAAAAGAAATAAAGTGGCATGTTTCTTCTTTTTGTGATGGCTAATATATAAACTAGTAATTGGTGGATACTCATTTTTATTTTCCTCTTCTTTTTTAAACCAAGTATTTAGGCTAGATTCTTTCCTTTTCTAATACTTTCTTGCTTATTTTCCATAAAGAACAAAATTCATCTTTTCACATGTGTTAAACTGGCAGTAGCTTTTTGTAAGCAGTGATAAGAGAGTTGTGTGCTGAATTTGTCATTAACATAAAGTACTAATCACAGAAGCTTCAGGTCACTCAGGATTTATAGATGGGAATATAAGCAATCATCTGATGAAATACCCTGCTTTTTTGCTTTGAGCTAAATATTGTTTAAAATAGCATAGCAAGTTTCCTTTTGTAACAGTATTGCTCAGTAAAAAGGTGTCCTTTAGATGATTATATGACATTTGAATTAACTCCTTGTTCCCGATGAAATTTCAGAACAGGAACTTTACATTTCTAGTATAACATATAATGTTCCGTAAGAGAAAATGATTTGAGCCAGAAGTGTAGAATTTTTTTAAATGAAAAAATTCTATTTTTATTCATATTTTATAAAACAATACAATGTTTTTAGAAAGTGGAATATATTAAAACAAGATTGAATTTCTAAAATGGTTTTAGAAGCTTGACAAGTTCAGTTTTAGGGAAACAACTCATTTAATTATCAGAAATTATTATTTTTAATACCCGGGTTTTCATCCATATTTTTGAAGGAAGGGAGAGGTAAACAGGACAGGAAGAGTGTTAAAGTATTATGTTATTATGATTAGATTATAAATTCAAGTTCTAGGTCTTTTAAAACAAATTTTAAATGACAATAAATTCTACAGATCGTTTTCAGAATCAAATGTTACCATTTGGCTTAATAATATATAGAGGCACAAAAAACTCAGTTATTCCTAAACAGTCTTTACATAGGTTCTTTGGGAAATTTTTAAAGACATTGAGAAAGCAATTGGATTTTGTAGAACAATTCTCAGTCTAATAATTTCACATCTTGTCTATATTTCACTAAACTAAAATCAAACTTTTTTTCTTAAATTCAGGCAGAGGCCTTTTGTTATTAGTATTGTTTCTGTATGAAATTAATTTCCTAATAAATTATAAGTAATCTCGTCATCCCCTTTAAGGGGAAAAAAAAATACCACACAAAAAGGCCTTCAAGGAACTCTTGGTTCTAGGCACTTGATAATAATCCAGTGATGAAAAGGTCTAGGCCCAGAGTGTGTGGGTTTGGTGTGCTGTTTGTCACGGTTTGGTTCTTGTGCTGGGTTTGGTGTTGTTAATACGCCACCCTGGGCTTTGGAGAGCTCCAGTTTTGCTGTTTGTGCTGAATTCACTGAAATTTCTTAGAGGCTTACATTTAAGGATCCCACTTACTGCAGTCACTCCTTGTGCTTTATTGCTTTTACAAGTGGTCTCAAACCCGGTACTTGAGAATAAACATAACAGTGCAGTGCTGCTGTAGCACTTTAAAAATTCTTCTTTGCTCTATTTTGTCAGTGAGCTGATGAGCAACCTCAAAAAAAAAAAAAAAAAAGACCCCGCTGGACCTAAAAAAAAAAAAAAAAAATGGCTTCCTCTGATGTCCTAGAGACAATAATTATGATGTGCTAGTTAAGCCCAAACTACAGCTGAGGGATTTTACTTTAAAGCAGCGGCTTGGGCGCAAAAATGCATTTATAGCTCTTTGTCTGCACCTCATTATGTGTGGGCCTGATTCATTAAGTAATTGGTTTGCAGTTGTTTACATGAGTATTAAGGCCTTCTTTTCAGCCGCCTTTGAGAGATACATTGTGCAAATGTTGCCTGTGATGAATGCAGAATGAGGGCCAGAGGGTCCGTCCTATTGGCTAAACAGTGCACTCCTGTTGAAAAGCCAGAGAAAGGGATTGGGTGCTGCTTTGCATAGCAATGACTTTCTTAATAAGCGTTACAGATTAATACACGCAAGCTATAAAAGATGCAAAGAGATACTCTTAGCACATTTATACATGCTCATTTCATTGTGATGGCGGTGGGGTTTGGGTGCTTTCATATTCCGTTTTTCAGAGCAGCAGCTTCAGTGCATGAGCCGTAATAGAATCTGATGTTTATTGTATTATAAATCACGGGCAAGTAGGCAGATTGGCAACAGTTTATTATTAAAGATTCTTTCAGTGTAAATCTTTTTCTACCATTGTATTTGCTTCAGCAAAATCATTTTGTGGTTGAGTGGGGATGAAAGGCATAATGTACGAAGGAGTGAGTCCTAATAGGAAGCCGTTCTCCAAGTAAAGACCACTTGTTCCCTTTTGTTCAGGGGTGCATGCCAGAGCTTCCTCTCCTCTGCAAACATTGTCTCGCTTTACCTTCCCCAGCAAGTGGTTTTCACTCTCCCAGGATCCGTTTGTTCAGTGGAGAGTATATTTTAACAGCCTGCCCTTAGCTTACTGGTTCCTGCCTTGTAACTTCAGCTTACTGGTTGGACCTTATTAATGTTTTACCAAAAGGAAAGGGTGTGTGCTTGCAACATAATTGCCTGGGGGAAAGGTAGCAGAAGTCACCCAGCCACTGTACCCTGGCAGGGCCACCGTGGGTGGCATTCTGTGCCAATCTTGCAGCCACCGGAGTGGCCAGTGGAGGGCGCCAGGCCGCAGTTGATGCTCTGGTCGGGGCGGTGGCATCTTCTGTCTTTGCCTGGTCACTGTGCATATTCCCAGGATAACATAAAGATTATAAGGAACCAATAGTCCAATGAAATAAAAATGAGTTTTTGCTGGAAGTCCTTTAGATTCTTATATAAAAGCACTCTTCTCTGCCTTGGGTTTGGCAAATCTCTGTTCTTAAGTTCCACTGAATTAGCAGCTTCCTAAATATGTCATGTTTCTTATCACAAGCCCACATACTTTCTTTTTCTGCACAAAGCAAGTAAGAACAATCAGTGCTTATTTGAAGAGAAAAAGTTAACAAGTTGACCTCAGACCTCTGAAAGTGGCGTCCTCTGTAGGACCCCTGATTAACCATCAGGGGGCGCTCAGACTTTGCTAAATTACTGGTTGGCCTTTAAAACCTACAATTAGCGTTTACAGAAATTTGTTGGCACAGTCATTGGGATTTTTTTCTTTCTGGATTATTTTTTGCGTTCTGTTTTTCAGAAACATATGTCTGTTTTGAGGAACATTCCAGCCGAAGTTTCTCCTTTAGAAATTGTAACACTGATTTCTGCTAGCAGTCAAAAACCATTAAAAGTTTTAGAATTTGGAGTCTAAAGACCATGTCTTCTCATAAATTAGCTATTTTCATCCTTCTAATAAGACTCCAGAACTGGAAGGACACTTCCCGCCAGGAGCCATTCCTCCTAATCCTGGACACCATAGACAGTGCTCCTGGCAGGACCCTCTAGTCTTATTGCCACATTCAACTGGTGTGGCCTCAAAATCACAATAACTTGGGTATGTTTGTTAATGGACCATGACTATTTTTTCTTTTTTAAAACATATTGACAGGCAGGACACAGTGGCTCATCCCTGTAATCCCAGTACTTTGGGAGGCCGAGGCCAGCAGATCACTTGAGGTCAGGAGTTTGAGACCAGCCTGGCCAACATGGTGAATCCCCATCTTTACTAAAAATATCAAAAAAAAAAAAAAAAATTCGCCAGTTGTGGTGGTGTGCACCTGTAATCTCAGCTACTTGGAAGGCCGAGGTAGGAGAATCTCATGAACCTGGAGACAGAATTTGCAGTGAGCCGAGACTGTACCACTGCACTCATCTGGACAACAGAGCAAGACTATTTCAGAAAAAATGACGACCGGGTGTGGTGGCTGACACCTGTAATCCCAGCACTTTGGGAGGCCAAGGTGGGTGTATCACCTGAGGTCAGGAATTCGAGACCAGGCTGGCCAACATGGCAAAACCCCATCTCTACTAAAAATACAAAAATTAACTGGACATGGTGACAGAGGCCTGTAATCCCTGCTACTCAGGAGGCTGAGGCAGGAGAATCATTTGAACCTGGGAGGCAGAGGTTGCAGTGAGCAAAGAGCATGCCATTGCACTCCAGCTTGGGCAGCAGGGCAAAACTCTGTCTCAAAAAAAAAAAAAAAAATTGATCACGAAATCGAGTCAATGTGTTACAAACATTAGGCTTTCCCTCTGTTCTTTTTTCCAAACTCTGCCCCCGACTCCCACTCTGGGCCAGAAATGAGTATCTGACACCCACCTCTGCTGCCATGAATCTCTCAGGAGGACCTGCACCCTGTCAAGCATGGGTGGTCTGCACACTGCACACCCTTACCAGGCAGCTCCCCTTGTCCCCCTGCTCATGAATAGTTAACAGCCAGACCACGTGTCCTGCCCACATATGACCCACTCTTTCATGTCCCTAGCTTTTATTGGAATGCTCCTGCCCCACTCTTTTACCTGGTTAAGGCCCTCTAGATTGTTCAAGCCTTAACTCAACCTTCTGAAAGTTTCCTAAGCAGAGACCTGGCTGTACAGCATACCCCTCCTGTGGTCACCCTAGCTATTTCTGTTATCTGTAGTGTAGGGATAGAAGCCATTTCCTGGTATCCTCCCTCCCGTAGTGTGGCACATTTCATTTATTTATTTATTTATTGAGATAGGTTCTTGCTCTGTCACCCAGGCTGGAGTG